GAGCGGCTGGCCCTGGATCTGTCGGGGGCGGCGCAGCCCCCCGTCTTCCGCGTCTTCCCGGGCACCTCGGCCGAGGACTTCAGCCTCATCGTCATCGAGCGGGGGGCGCAGCCGCAGCCCCCCGTCCCCCTCACCATCAAGGTGGGTGTCCCTCTGTCCGTCCCCCCCTCCCTCCCTGTCCGTCTGTCTCACCCCTCTCTCTCTCCCCCCTTCCCCTCGCAGGAGGAGCAGCAGGAGGCGGCCATCGGGGACGCCCAGGACACCAAACCGGTGGGGTTGCTCCCCGAGCCCCCCGGGGTGCCGGGACCCCCTGGATCCTCCTTGGGGCTGGGATCTGCCCCTGCCGGCCCCAGGGTCTCCTGTTGCCGCGTCTGCTGCCGGGCCGGCGCCGTGGTGATGTGCGACCGTTGCGAGCACTGCTACCACCTCGACTGTCACCTCCCCGCCCTCCAGGAGGTCCCCAGGTATGCCTGGGATCCACTGGGCAGCCTGGGATCCGCTGCCCCTGGTCACCTCCCCCTGCGTCCCTGGGATCCGCTGATCTCCCGTCCCTGAGGGTCGCTGCTCCATCCTCCCCTTGGGATCCTCCCCTCCTCCTCTGGCACTGGTAGATCCCCCAGGATCTACTGCTCTCCCCTGGGATCCCCCTTGCTGGGGGTTACTGCCCCACGGCATCGTGGAGGATCTTGGGGATCCGCTGCTCCCCAGATCTTCAGGGATCGCCCAGAGCCACCAGGTCTTTGGGGTCTGCTGATGTCTGACAGGATCTACTCATCTCCCATAGGATCTGCTGCTTCCTTGTCCCGGGATGGGGGTGGAATTACTTCTACCCCTCCTGATTCCTTGGGGGGAATCCTCTGGTGCCACTGGATTCCCTGAGTGATCACTGGCCTCTGGGATCTATCTGCCCCCCTCACCCCAGATCCAGTTCTGCCCCATCCCAGAGGTCCTTGGCCACTGCTGGAGCTTTGGGAGCCGCTTGACCCTAGTCCACAGCTCTCCCTTGGGATCTCTTGGCATCTTTTGGGATCCACTGATCCTTCCTCCAAGGAAGTTGGCTGCCACCCAGGTTTTCCAGTCTCTGGTTGCTACTGGATCCCCAGGATTTGCTGTTTTTTTTGGGGTTTTTTTGTTTGTTTTTTTTTTTTTTTTTTTCCGGGGATCTTCCAACCCCATGGACCGGGCCAGCTCAGATCCACGCAGGGACCGCCCCACGATCCCTGGAGATCCCGTCTCAATCCTTGTTGGAGGTCCAGCTGTTGACCACAGAGCCCTGGGGGTCTGCTTTCTGTCATCCGTGGAGGGATCCACCTCTCAAGCCCAGATCCTCTGGGATCTCCTGGCCCTCATCTGCATTGGGATCTACCTCTTGATCCCAAATCCTGGGGGAACCTGCAGGGTCTGAGCCCCATGGTGCTCTACTCCTCCATCCCTGACCCTCCTGGATCCCTTGTAGGTCCTCAGTCCACCTGGGGACCTACATGTCAACCCAGATCCCTTGGGAATCTACTGCCCTGGCCCGTGGGGAGAGTCGTGCATCAGTCTTGGATCAGTTGGGACCTCTTTGATCCCTGGGGAGCTGCTATCCCCCCTCCATCGCGGACCCCCCACTTGATCCTTTGCTGCCTGGCC